TTCCCCATGATATTTAATAAATATTTGGAAAGGCTGTCGTTTGAAACAGGAAAGAAAAGTTTGCGAGTAAAAAGGGTCCTTTGCTTTGCATATTAGCCCGTTTTCTTTTGATAAACATGATGAATTCTGGTTTCCTTTTCCGGCCGGATATTTATATTTTCATCTGTCGGAAAATTTTGATGAGGATATGTCATACTGTGAAACTCACAATACTTGGAAACTGAACATGACCATTTCAATGTTTTCCCGTCTTTTTCAAACAGCTGTTGTACTTTGCTGTTGACCCAGACCCCTTAGAGGGTTTTCTTCGAGGACTGAGCCTTGTTGCAAACCAACCAATGCCGTCCAGCAAGTCTTTAGTTCATCTCCCTCAACCAATGACGGAAGAATATGGCGGTGACGTCAGTGTCCCACAAATCCAGGTCTGTAAAACATCGCTAAGTATAAATGATCTATGAACGGAATCATTCTCAAGCGCGAATGGGATTTAATTCATACGTGGGGCATTTCCTGTGTTCTTCTCTGTTAAACAGGAAAGAAGAAGAACAACATAACAACAAAATATTATTAAGGACTTATTTTAGGACTGAAAAGTGCAATCATAACATTCAAAGAAGTTATTACAGAAAATTATATAGGCAGACAAAGTAAATGTTATAACATTTTCACTGTTTCGCAGATGTAAAATGTACTTATCAACGGTATCCAAACGACTTATTACGGTTGATTTTTTCGATCATTCTCTCGATTTTGCACGCAAGCTTCCTATTCAAAGCTATAGCGATAGTTGAGGTTTTGGTTCCAGTTAACAATCTTTCCTCGTCCACGTGCTGAGTACCAGGGCGGTGAACAGTAAGCACAATTATTAATGAAATTGACTTGTATCCCAGGAACCCACTTCACCACCACCTGAAATGAACTCACTTGTGACACTGGACAACCTAATGAAGGTACCATCCCTTGCTTTTTTCACTCATGAATCAGAGTCAGGTTTGTTCCAATCTTTTTTCAATCATTTTGTTTAATTTTGTCTCCATTGGCAGGTTTTTCATCATGGTGAAGGGCAACGGGAAGATACATATCGCCTTAATGTTACGGCTGACCCAGACGATACATTTGCGAAGGTAAGAGAGTAAAAACCGAGGGTGTCATCATGTTTCCAATGAACAGGAGTAAATTTTTTAAATGTCAAGCGTTCGTTGATACCGTGGGCATTAAGGGTGCCGATTTGATAGATAAATTGTTGTTCAAAAGTTTTGAGGCTTTCCAAACTGCCCATTTGTAAGGAAAGGCCGCAGACTACCATGTGCTGCTTAGAATGATCAGAAAGATTAACGTGTGTGGCAACTGGTTTGGATGCGTCCATGTTATTCCTCTCTACGTCACAAAGGTGTTCTCGGAATCGGTCACCTAGTCGGCTATCTGTTTTACCAAGAATATCTTTTTGCACATAGTGCAAGGTATGCTAGAGATGACTTTGATGGAGATGCACGTGAAGTGATCAGTAATCTTAATGGATGCTTTGGATCAATATTTTCTCAACTTTATGAATGAAAGGACAGGTTTTGCATCGTAGGCGAGCGCATTAGAAAGTTCTGGGTTGGTCATTAGTTTGTGATGAACTTCTGACCACATAGGTGCCTATCTTTTTGTAACGTTTCAATGAAATAAGTGGAGGTTTCGAAAAGACAGTACCAGTCTCTGAATCATTAAAAAGTAATTTAAAGTTTTAAGGAATGATGATTTACCTACGTGGTTGTGAGGGTGAAATGTGCGAGTGAATGGATTGCGATCGGTATTTTCCTTCTGTTCCGTTTGTAGTGCTGACTGTCGATCAATTTGTTGGGCGCGGTGGTGGCCCACTTGACTGACTGAAACAGGATAGCCACTTTTTTTCGGAAAACTGGACCATTACCTCTGACTCGTCGAAAAAACCAGGGTCATCACTACAACTAAGTCTAAGAAAATGACAAAAGGGAATTGCAGTTCGGAAAGCCGCACAATTCTTGAAAATTCTCGTCATCATGTTCCCACCAATAATGTAGGTCCATTTCCTGCATGTAAAACACACACACAACCTACAATTCCCCCATTCGCTCTGACGAAGGTCCAACGCCCAAAACTTTAGCTTTGAAACTGTTAACGGTGGCCATCGACATTATCAACTCAACTAATAAAACCAAAATTACCTTTAGATTTATGTTTGTTCTCACATTCTTTAGAAGAAGATCTTGAAGTTTTTATTTTTACTATTTTTATTATTTATAACAGGAACGTTTGGCAGGTGTGTTTGTGGAACTTGGTGCCGAGGAAACAGAAGCCGTTCCATTCCACCTCTTATACCAGCATCCTATTATACAGGACTGCATGCATATGTGTCAGCGGTTTAAAACATTGGTAAATTTTACTTTCGAATAATTTCTTTTATAGAGCAATGTTTGAGATGAGTTACATTAATCTGAGATTTTTAGGATTTCAAATTATCAACACAGCACAAAATAAGCGAGGACTTTCAACGAACTTACAAGTTAGAGTCAAATTCTGGGGCCTGAAATAAATGAAAGGTTTTATGTTAAGTAATTTTTTATTTATCTTTTTTTTCCCATAGGATCTTCGAAATTCTTTCAAGAGTTCTTCAGTTGATACATTTGAATAGTGTTTTCCAAGTCTGTGTACTTATTCATTTTCAAAGTGACCTTGTCAAACATTTCACACGCATATTTGAGTTCCTTTGTGAGTTTAAGATGTTCGAGAAGCTTGCATACACTAACTTACCTTGTAACGATTTATTTCTTGTGTGTAATAAATAGTTTTGAATGTTGCACAGTGGTCTGTCTGGGCGAAATTCAAGTAAAGTTTTCATTATGTTGCTCAGAAGCAAATCCCATCTAGTCGCTATGTGCTATTCAATCTGTGGTTGAAAATGGGGACACTTAGCTGGTGATGAGATATTGACCATCCATCTTTGTTTTATTCGTTCTTGTCTGGTATGCACTAAACTATAAGTTGGTATAACATTTCTTAATATTCAGTCCATGTCTACGGATTTATTGTACGCTTTGGAATACCAAAACTTGTCACCCGTTAACGCAAAGAATTAAAGAAAACAGAATCACAGAAGGATACCCCGTGCCGGCTTAATAGTCAACTCCAGCACAAACGAAACAGTTTGGTACAATTCATTGCAGACTTAACAGGCCAGACCGTTCAGGTACATGATATTGCCTGCGGAGTAGAAAATCGTGCACTGAAAAAAAAAATAGAGGATACCAACCATTGATGAGGGTATTGAGGGAATCGGTATAGGAAAAAGGAAGGAGTGAGGGAAGATTTCGTTTTTGAGGTGACCATGTGCAACACTTTCCCCCACAAAATCATGATGACGTTTAAAAGAAATTGGCGAGCTTCATCAGTAATTCAACCAATTTTTGAAAGACGTGAAGTTGTTTTGAGTCATGACCATACTCGGAGAGGTGCCTCGACTAAAACGGACTCAGGCAAATTTTGAGCTGCATTGAATTCTTTAAAGGGTACCGACGGAATGAGTAACCTTCTAACTAACAAATTGTTACAGTCCGATCGTTTAAACTGATTAGAATTAGGAGATTCAATAATTACCGGCAATATGTCTCTGAAGATGAAACTATTGAGAGGTGAAAAGTAGTCATAGGAAATGTTGTTTTTCATTCAGGTTTGATAGATAAATGAAAGTTTCATCGTTTGCCTCATCATGCAAGATTCAATCGTGTTTTTATCGTGACGATTCGCCTGCTATACTGCAAGTGTTCGTGAGGTAACGAGGTCGAAAATTTACTTGTCGCTGTTTATAGCTCATTAGTTTGTTGTTAGTGATGTGTTGTGGCGCGCTGTTATTGGTGCATTTGGATCCTCGTTACATCGTTTCAAGTATTTGATATTGTACCCTCGTTACTGATTGGCTCTTTTGTTTTTTTCATAGTGTGCACCCATGATTTATTCCGTTATCTCCATTGATGTTATTAAGATGGAGTCTTATTGGATGGCTTCTTGACTTTCTTTAATCCTACGCGTGTACCAGTGAAAGTCACGACCTGGTCCCAAACAGTAACGTTTCCTGTTTCATTGGCGCACTGTGGCGGCATATGTCTCTTTCCTGTTTCTTTAATTCTCTTTTTCATCGCTCTCCCAGTTTCTCTGGTGTATAATTGCCACAATTGCACGGGATATTGTTTGCAAACAATGCCGTCCGTTTTGCCAGATGGATGCGATCTTTATGGTTAGGTTAATTGTACCTGCGCGTGGTTCGGTTAATCTGCAAGAAATAAAAATGCTATTTCTGACGAATGAGCTTGCGAACAAGGCTGAAATAAATGTTTTGTCAGCAAGAGACACTTCACGACCTGGGTACCACACCGGTGCATCACGGGCACAAGGAATAGTCAGGATGGGCTTATAGTTTCCGGAGCTAGAGCCTCAGTTCCTACCCAGATTTCCTTACTATTTTTTTCTCATCGGGGTTTTTTTGGCAGGTTTTTTTCTGGCCTCCGTTCTAATCGCTCTTCTATTGTTAGCGGTTGCTCGGCTCCATCTGCTTGAGTATCCAACATTTCTTTTTTCTTTTTTCGTGTTTTACATGTGTCTTAAACTGTCTTATATAAGTTGCTTTTCAGTGTTTCGACTTCGGTGACTCATTGATCAGTACCATAGCTTTTAACTATAGACTGCTTACGTAATGTTATTTGCACTTGCTTTTGTAGCCAGAAGAACGAAACAAAGGTTTGTGAACATGCCAAGCCCCGTAATTTACGTGATTATAACGTGAGCAGAGATAAAAATTCTCAAAGAGTAAAACGAAATGGACAGCCTAACTGGCATGTACGATTTGTACACGTGTACATATTTGAGATTTAAGTTCAGAGAAGTGGACTTCTCAGCTTTACTGGCAGTTTTATGTTAGGTTTGTTGGATTGTAAGCTTATTAGCCTAACTGATATGTACGATTTGTACTCGTGCACATATGAGGTATTTTGGTTTAAAGTAGTAGACTTCCCAACTTGACTGGCAAATTTATGCATGCTTGATTTTGTTTTGATTTGTAAGTTTGTTACCCTGACTAGCATGATTTGTACACGTGCGTATATGGGACATTTTGGCGCAAAGTAGTGGACTTCTTAACCTAACTGGTAGTTTTACGCTAATTTTGTTTGATGCGTAGTCTTATCACCCTTACTGGCATGATTGATTGTACATGTACTTTTTTAGATTGTAGTTCTCTGAGGTGGGTTTACCAGCTTAACTGACAGCCGGACGGAAAGATTGTGCAGATAACGGCCAGTTTTGCATGGCCATCACGCAGTTGGCCGTGATAGCATGTTATACCTCTTTAAGACGAAAGGTCGAAGAACACTCTTATTAATTTACTGTACCTTTTTCACATAAGCTCTTACGGACTTTTTATGGGTTGGTTCTTTCTAGGTCCTCCCCCAAAGATCTTATGTGTCAACCCTAACTCTAAGCTTTGCTATTTGCGTGCATGCCGCTGTGCTTGTTGGGTTTTTTCATTTACTCAGACATGAGGACGTGTCGGAAGTCTAATATAATTTTTTTTATCATGCTACATTTCTTTAATGGTGGGGGGTCCGGGGCAAGATAACATCGCACTGACGAGATGACAGGGCGATAAACAAGGTTTTGTTACAGTGTACATTTGAAACTCCAATGAAGTCTTACTATAATGTGTAGACCTCACGTGTGCTTATCCCATGTAAGGTATCCTAGTTCTGGATTCCTCTGTGATGTTACATAACATTAATCTATTAGATATAAAAGCTAAAGAAAAATGGTAGAAGAGAAAGTCAATCAAAAATACAGACTCGAAGAAATTATGAGCCAATTACCACTCCTTTATTTCAATGTATGTGCTTTACAAAGCCATTGATTTAACATCTGCGCTTCATGGAATTTTATATTTGACGGACACCCAGTTTGAATGGACGTTAGTTTAATAAGTCCTTACTGTTATCTTCAGCATTAACTCCAAAGTTGGTCTCCACTAAGTGGACACGTGCTCACGTGTTCGCTAAGTGGCACTTGTAATTCTCACGCAGTAGAAGACCTCGTAGTATGTGGAATCCTTCCTGAGCTACATTACAGGCGAAGCCTGACTGTTAGTCAACTATAAGGAACTGTCCCCCTTGATCAGGTCTTATTCGAATTCCATCGAAATCTTTTTTGTCGGGACTGTTGGCTCTTTAGTGAACTGTAAGTATTTACTTCATGAAATTTTCCTTCATTGAATTCGTGTTTTTAGAATCAGCACACATATCGAGGATAATGAAAATTTTAAGCAACACATTTGGAAAACAATAAATTAGTTTTTTGTATGCTTGTGTTACACATGAAAGAGAAATTGCATTTATTTAGGCAACGACTGACTCCTAAGGCCTACGATTAAAATTCCAGTGTCTGCGGCTGTTCTTTGGGTTTTTTTCGCAATGCCACAGATGAATCAATTTAGTATGAGCCGCATTCTTGAACAATCAAGATCTGATAGTAATCCTCCCAAATAAAGGCCCACACCTTTTGTTTGTTATGCCTGAGAATCTAAAGTTTCATCAAGGCAGTAGCACCAAGTTGACAATTGTAATAATTCTCATTTACTTCCTCCTTAACAGCTTGTCACAATTGTGAGAAGAATTAGAGAGGATTAAAGAACATGAAGGAGATATACAGCTTGCTCGCACTCAGAATTCGGTGGCTTCAGAACACACCATTCTCGAACTTATTTCTTATGCACGAGGTAATTAACCACTTGTATGTCACCATTTGAGTCACATGGAGGCCTTTTGATACCTCGATCGGTTAAAAACAGATGCGCGAGATGCGTGTTTGGAAATCAACTAGCCAAAGAATGCAGTACTCCAACAAAGAATTGTTCACCTCCAGGATTACAGTACCTAATGAGCATCATTATCTGGACGATTCGGGAATATCTCGGGAGAATGAATAGTATAAGGCCTGCGTAATCTCGAAACATTAAACTAATCTAATCAAGACAAAGCCCTGAAATTAGAACACAAAAATGAAAAACATTAAAACTTCCCAGTGACGAATTGAATTCAATATTCAGTTTAATCTTAAAGATCCTGAACTCTTCTTGGATGCTGAAAAGACTGATACTATCTCAAAGAGTTGAATAGAGCCTGATGATATCAAAATACGCATGTACCTCTGCCTTCTCCGACTCAACGATGATGTGTTTAGAGGATTAATGGCCACAATAAACACCAAACATCAAATTGCTGTGTATCCCACCTTGAGGACTGAAATTAGGGATTACCCATCCCAAGCTGGTCTATGGCGTCTACAAATCGACAATCCTTTCCAATACAGATTCTAAACAGGATCGTCACTCGCTTAGTAAATGCTAGAGCCTTTCATGATAACTACGCCTCTAATCCCTTTGTGTTCCAAAAGAAAGGTACTAACTCCATCCTTCAATATTTTGGAGGTGAAGAGTATTCGTTTCAACCCTTGTAATTGAACAGTAATAATTAAGAGAGAGACATGACAGATAATTACCGATTTTTGCAAGCAACAGGATGTTTAGTCAAAGGGGAAACATGATCAGATTCCAAGACTGGGGATATGCAAAGAATTGCACATTGTTTGCCATTGCCAATGTGCCTAGTGGATGTGTGGATTGCCCTGCCATGGATCCAAGACAAAGTGGAGAACTACAAATAGAAGTGTTCAGTGCTCCACAAGCTCATAACATGGTAGTCTTAGTCTATGCTGAATTTGAAAACTTGTTGGAAATCGATTTTAATCGAGCCATGTTGCACGATATCACTGGAAATTAAAGAAATAGAAAACATTACCATGAACAACGTGCAGTTTTTTTTATATAGGGCAAGGCACGACTCTGTGTTGTTGCCTCATTTAAAGGAACTGTTCCCTGCGACAAATTACCTAACAGACCCCAGAAACAACACTAAGTGGGTTATATCATGAATACAAATTCCCATAGCATGCCTGGTAGACGTTGGACAGGCCTATGGACATATAGCAAGACCTGTGAGGTAATAGATAGTTATACCTTATCCTTCGAGGTATACCAAGCTACTCAACCCTTAATTGAATGGATGAAGAAACATCGGAAATACGTTGTTATGAACGCCATCAGTCTGCAATCTTTGTTTAGTCAGAGTTGTGGAGACTATGCAATAAAGATTTTGAGAGAAAGTGCCATGGGTCAAACGATGCAGGAATTATCGAAACAGTTTCGGAACACAATTACGTATATAACAACCTTAAAGTAGGTCAGATGTCAAACAGTTTATAGAAACTGAAATGGAGGCTGAAATACGGTTTCACAGCAGTCAAAAGAATCGTCATCAATAGACTTAAAGACGTGACATTCGACATTAGGTGTATCGATTTTTGTACTTCAATTAGCATGATTGTTAAAACTCAAATGTTTGTGTTGCGCTCATTGGGTAAAGCTGGTAGTTTAGTCGGCTAGAGTAGGGTGTTTCATTCATCGAGGCTGTAGGTTCCACCCCTACCCGTGTATATTTGAAAAGGCTCGATAGTACAAGGGTCACTTGGGAGAACGGGGTTCCATTCCCATCCGCCCGGTCAAAACTATGTTATAAAACTGTCTGTGATATTTGGGGAAACACATTTGATCGGAGAAAAATGGAAAGGACAAAAATGTTTCAGGGCAAGACACCTTCCAGCATTCTAGCGGTTGGTACTCTGGGTGTGGTAAAACTTGTTTTACACAATCTGTCTTGACTGATCATATAGATGAGTTGTTTGTAGACATTCCCCTAATAGTGGTGTATTGTTATGGAAGATAGGAAGCTAAGTTTTCCTTTTTGAGAAAATCAAAAATAATTTTCGTGAAGGTGTGCCAGACCTTAAACAATTGAAAACGTGGTCCCCAAAAGGTGGCTTACTGGTGTTGGACGATCTTATGGTCGAAGGGGGAAACGATAAAGAAGTTTTAGACTTGTTCACCAAACATTCTCATCATCGGAACATTACTGTCGTGTGCTTGCGCCAAGATATGTTTCTACCCGGAAAATATTTCAAGAGTATTTCAAGAAATTCCCATCACATTGTGACCTTCAGGAATCCTAGGAATCAATTGGGGATGAGGAATGTATCATCGCAAGCTTTTCCTCATAAGTGGCAAGAAGTGATGAATGTGTACAGGAAAACTACTCAAAGACCATTCGGATCTTCAACCCTGGATCACGATGATTTCGACTGTCCAGTCACCTATTAAAAGAGGAAGGTTGCATGTGCTGTTATATTTTACCCGAGAATACAATGGAGTAAAGAACTGAAAAATCATGAGAACTAAAAAAAGAAGATGGATATCATGGAGAAAGCAGTGAGGAGATGCACCTATGAGAACAACGAAAAGGAGTTTAAATGGTGGACCGTCCACCACAGATAAAATAGCAGAAGGCATGAGCATGTTTTTGTCAGGTCCTGCTCCCACCTTTGATGCTTTTTGTAGACTCTTGGTGAAACAGAGCTTAGAAGGTATAAAAGACAACGTCAATTACTATCGCCCCGGAAGACGAAAACGATGACAAAGTTGAAAAGTAGAAAACGACTAGCAAAGAAAAAAATGAGAAGAAATAAATCACAGAAAGGAGGATTGTTACCCTTGGCAGCTCTTTTTCTAGCTTTGATAGCTGGTGGTAAAGCAGTAGCAGCCGCAGCGCTTTCAGGTGCCACCGGTTACGTTGTAAAAACGAGACTAGAAGCTATTGAGAAGAGAAGTAAAAGGGGAAAATAG